TTGCCGGCCCCCGGTCCGGTACGGGGGCGACACTGAGGGTTGCGATCCGTTGCCGGACACGGAAAAAGACAAAAGACAAAAAAAAAAAAAAAAATACTCATAAGTGGGAGCTAAAAAAAATAAAGAACGAACAACAATCACAATAATTTGTTGAACTTTCAAAAGGAGAGAACAGAACTGAGGCCACCAGAGATGGGAAAGGGGGGTGGGGGTTAGTGAGAAATTGGTAAAGGGCCACAAAAAACGATTATATTAAGCTGTTGTAAGGTCCGGCCCATGGCTCACTCAGGAGAGTGTGGTGTTGATAACACCAAGGCCACGGGTTCGGATCCTACATAGGGATGGCCGGTTTGCTCACTGGCTGAGCGTGGTGCTGACAACACCAAGTCAAGGGTTGAGATTCCCTTATTGGTCATCTTTAAAAAAAAAAAAAAAATGTTGTAAAGCTCTTACATTGTATGTGAAGTGGTATAATATCAATTTGTGGTAGATTGTGATAAGTTAAGGATACATGTTATAATCACTAGATAAACCACTAAAAAAAGAAGAGGTATTGGCTGGCCAGTTAGCTCACTTGGTTAAAAAAAGAAGAGGTAGAACTAAAAAGCCAGTTATGGGAATGAAATGGAATATTAGAAATATGTACAATTCAGGGCCGGCCTGGTGGCGCACTCGGTAGAGTGCGGCGCTTGGGAGTGCTGCAGCGCTCCCGCCGAGGGTTCGGATCCCATATAGAGACCGGTCCACTCACTGGTTGAGCGCGGTGCGGGCGCGACACCGAGGGTTGCGATCCCGTTACTGGTCACGAAAAAAGACAAAAAGAAATAGTTAAATGTATGGGCCGGCCCGGTGGCGCACTGCTACAGTGCACCGTTTGGGAAGCGCGGTGGCGCTCCCGCCGAGGGTTCGGATCCCACATACAGACCGGTTCCCGCTCGCTGGCTGAGCGAGGTGCGGGTGCGACACCGAGGGTTGCGATCCCGTTGCCGGTCCCGGTCCGGTACGGGCGCGACACTGAGGGTTGCGGTCCGTTGCCGGACACGAAAAAAAAAAAAGAAGTAATTCAGGAGTGGTGAAGCTCTTATGAAAACATTGGTTATGAGCAGGATGCATTTAGAATAAATATTGGGCTAAATACAGTTACTGAGTAGGATGTAAATAGTGTAAACATAACTATAACATTTACAGCACTTATTACTTGCCAGGTCTTTGTAAGAATGTATTTAAGCTTCCTACCTATGAAGTAGATACTATTATCCTTATTTTACAGATGAGGAAAACTGAGGCTTATAGAGGTTAAATAACATCTGTAAGGTCACACAGCTAATAAATACTGGAGCCAGGACCGGAGCCCAGACTTCGTTAAGCACCTGCTGTGCTGTCTCCCTAAGCTGAAATAACATAACCAACAAAACAGCAGGTGAGGGAGGCACTGTGGACGTATGAGGTCCTCACCTTTTAGGGTTGTGACTCTATAGTTGTGAGAGTGTATTCTGTCTAAAATTTAGTTCGAAAAATAAAAACAATGATTCTAACCTTTTGATATTTTTTTCTAATCTCTTCATAACTCTAGGGGCTCATTTAAGAATGTTCTCTGTGGGGAGGAAATATTAATTTGAAGGTCAGCAGTTTCCTTAGTTTCATTTCAGTTTGGTTTTCTTCTGATAAATTCAATTAAAATCAAAGTTACATTTTTTATTGACGAAGAGCATATGTTACACAGTTTTTCAGAGTACTTAAATCTATTATCCATATAGCCAGGCAGCATTTAATCTGAACACATGTTACAAATATGACAGGAATGGTGTCCGCTTAATGATAATGATGTTTATTTCTAACCATCATTTGGAATGATTAAAGAATAATGTTAGAGTGTTTATATTTTTTGAGAAGGAGGGATGGTACATAGGGATTTCAAATTTTTTTTTTTTTTTTTTTTTTTTTTTTTTTACAAAAGATGACCAGTAAGGGGATCTCAACCCTTGGCTTGGTGTTGTCAGCACCACGCTCAGCCAGTGAGCAAACCGGCCATCCCTATATAGGATCCGAACCCGTGGCCTTGGTGTTATTAGCACCGCACTCTACTGAGTGAGCCACGGGCCGGCCCTGGATTTCAAATTTTATATACAAAGAAAAAACAACTTAAAAAAAGTGAGCCTTGCTACCACCTCTGCTTAAGATTATTTAGTAGTTTCCCATTGATTTTAGGATTAAATCCAGGGTCTTTTTTTTTTTTTTTTTGTCTTTTTTGAGACTGGCCGCACTGCGCTCAGCCAGTGAGCCCACCGGCCATCCCTATATAGGATCCGAACCCGCAGCAGGAGCACTGCTGCGCTCCCAGCGCCGCACTCTCCCGAGTGCGCCACGGGCTTGGCCCAAATCCAGGGTCTTTAATGTGACCCAGCAGACCCTGCATGATCTGGCCTCTCTCTCCAGCCTCCCTCCGCCAGTAATTTCTGGGTTCTAAGCACAATGACTCTAACCAAATGTATCCTATTTGTCTTACCTGGAAAATCCTTCACCTATATTTTCTTTTTTCATTATACATGGCTCAGTGTCCCTTCTTTGGGGAAGCTTTCCTCGACCTCACCCCCTCATCTAGGTCAGGGCCCTGATACATTCTCATAGCACCCTAACCACCCTATACTTTTTCTCCAAAACCTGTCACATTTAAAATTACCATACAAGTAAATGTACAGTAGTTCCCCCGTATCCAAGGGGGTATGTTCCAAGACCTCTCTGGTGGATGCCTGAAACTGTGGGTGGTACACAGCACTATACACTGTTTTTTCCTATATGTACACAAATATAATAAAGTTTTATTTATAAATTAGGCACAGTAAGGGATTAAGAATAACTAATAATTAAATAGAACAGTTATAACAATATACTGTTCACAGGTTCATGGATTAGTCCTTACCATAGATCTTAGCAACCTCAGCATACAATTTTTTTTCCTTATTAAGAACTTTCACCTCTTCACTTAAAGGAAGTAATTTACAGCCGGTCTTTGGCATATCTGAATTGCCAGCATTTGGGGGCCATTATTAAGTAAAATAAGGGTTTACTTAAACAAATGCGTTGTGATCCTGTGACAGTCAATCTGATAACCTAGACAGCTACTAAGTGACTCAGGGATGGATAGTGTATACTGTGGACATGCTGGACAAAGGGACGATTCACATTCCCGGTGAGACTGAGTCGGATGGCACAAGATTTCACCAGGCCACTCACAATGGTGCACAATTTAAAACTTATGAATTGTTCATTTCTGGAGTTTTCCATTAAATATTTTCAGGCCAACATCAACCTCAGGTAATTGAAACTGTGGAAAGCGAAACCATGTCTGGTTTCTCACTGTAACCCCATAAGGTAGATATTATTATCATTCCCAGTTTCTTTCTCCTTTACTGTTTGGGCTTCCTCATAAGATATCATTTGAACAAAAGATTCCATGACTGAAAAAGCTGCACACTATGCAATGCTACCTTTCTTTCATGCTGTTTTAGCTAATGGTATAGGGACATTATTCAGAAATTGTTCCCTAACTTTGGCCTGAGACGTTTGGGATCTGCCCTGGCTTGTGTTTACTTTATTCTTTGCTTTCCTTCCTCACAGGTGGACTGACCCAGGACCTGACAGCTGCCTCCAATTGCTTTCTGATGGCCTGCGAGAAGCCTGGAAAGAAATCTGTGGAAGCATGTCACAATGTTGGTCTCCTGGCACATAATGGACAGGTCAATGAGGATGGCCAGCCCAACCTGGGGAAGGCCAGGGACTACTACACAAGGGCCTGTGAAGGTGGCTATGCCTCCAGCTGCTTCAACCTCAGCGTCATGTTCCTGCAGGGTGCCCCTGGTTTTCCCAAGGATATGGGCCTGGCATGTAAATACTCAATGAAAGCCTGTGACTTGGGCCATGTCTGGGCCTGTGCTAATGCCAGCCGCATGTATAAGCTCGGGGATGGTGTTGATAAGGACGAGGCCAAGGCTGAGGTGCTAAAAAATCGGGCCCAGCAGCTGCACAAAGAACAGCAGAAAAGTGTCCAGCCCTTAACGTTTGGGTAGTGTGACCCACCCCCTCTCCCTAAGCAGCAGGTGGCTGGAGGCTGGCACCTCCTGTTTCTGAGACCTGATGCAGCCCTTGAAGGTCAACCTGTTGAAGCAGGAAAACTTGGAACTTGGTATCAGTAGCTCTGGTTACACAGATCCAGTGCCCCAGAGTGTCCCCTACTGGGATGTAGCCTGCAATGTTTATTTCAATCAGTGTTCCTTTATCTAGGTGTGTTCTGTGAAGACACCCACATTTATGGGGTTTTAGTTTTTAAACTCTTGCAGCTCTGAGAAAAATAGGAGCAAACTTGAGAGCCATAGAGATGGGGGCAAGGGGAAACAAATAACAGGAATTTGGAAAAATTACCAGCCCTAGGGCCTGAAGGAATCAGCCATCATCATCATTATTATTATCATTATTATAATTTTAGTTGGGAGGGTATGAAAATCAGAAAGTGTCTTGATTTATGTAATAGAGGTCTTAAGGAGCTAAGAACAGTTAAATAGTCATGACTGCCACCCTCTGACTTACGTAATCATTGGTGTGGGCTTCCCTTTTGCCTTTAGCGTGAGATCTTTCAGAAACATCATAGAGATCAGGAGGGATATGCAACATAAAGGCTAAAGGTTGTTTTGCTTCAGGGTTACTAAAGAAGAAGAAACATGAGCCTGCCTTCTAGAAGAGACGTTCACAGTTACAAATTAGCATCCCTGGTTCACTCACCTGGCACTGCTCATCATGCTAAGGAAGCACATTATTCCCAAGGCAACTTTAGCTAGGAATTTATAAGCAAGGATTTTGTGACATATTTTGCCTACTGGAACTGAAACTTTTGACTGTGCCTGTGAATAAACTATTTTGACTGATTTGTAGTTTACGTTATTAGTGTATTCTCAGATTCTGGGTAGGGTGGAGAGTATTATTGGTTGTGCCTTTTTTAAAAAGAACATTTGCTTTTTCTGTTATCTCTCGAGCTTGTCACCAGGGGGCGAGCTTGTCATTTTCCTGCTGATAACAGGACCATTATATCTGTCACCACCTACTGTTTTCATCTTCCAGTTTTGCAGCTGTCCAAGAAGGAAGGCTTACTGTGTGGATGAAGGTTTGTTAGCACAGTTGGCCAGCTTCTCAAGTTGATAGAGGAGACAGACTTTCCCAAGTGCAGAGAGGAGATCTTAAAAGGCATTAAGTTCATCTTAAAAATGTATAGTAGCCTTTGGTGTGCTTAAAATTGAATCTGTAGGCCAACAGGCATATGAAAAGATGTTCATCACTAATCATATGGGGAATGCAAATCAAAACCACAATGAACTCTTAAAACACAGCAGTAAGAAAACAACCTGCTTAAAAAATGGGCCAAAGATTAACAGACACCTCACCAAAATGATACACAGATGGCAAAAAGACTATGAAAGATGTTCTATACGTGTCATCAGGAAATGCAAATTAAAACAACGAGACCACTATACATTTATTAAAATGACCACAAACCAGAACACTGACAACACAAATGCTGGTGAGGATGTGGAGCAACAGGAACTCTCATTCATTGCTGGTGGGAATGCAAGATAGTACAGCCACTTTGGAAGACAGTGGTTTCTTACAAAACTAAACATACTTTTATCATATGATCCAGCAATCTCATGCCTTGGTATTTAGCCAAAGGAATTGGAAATATATCTGTGCAAAAACCAGCACACAGATAGATGGAATATTATTCATTGCTAAAAAGAAATGAAGGGCTGGCCAGTTAGCTCCCTCAGTAGAGCATGGTGCTGGTAATACCAAGGTCAAGGGTTTGGATCCCTGTATTGGCCAGCCACCAAAAAAAAAAAGGTTATCATCCATGAAAACACATGGAGGAACCTTAAATGAATATTACTAAGTGAAAAAAGCCAATCTGAAAAGGATAAATATTATGTGATTCCAACTATATGACATTGGTATCTATTGTGGAAAGACAGAACTATGGCGACAGTAAGAAAAAGGGGGGGGGGGAGTAGTAAGGGGAGAGAAGGATTAATAGAGGAGGGGATTTTTAGGACAGTGAGACTAGTATTTGTGATGGTGAGTAAATGCCATTACACATTTGTCCACACCACTAAAATGTACAAGAGTGAACCCTAATGTAAACTATGGACTTTGGGTGATTATGATGTGTCAATAGAGGTCCATCAGTTATAATAAATGTACCATTCTGGTGGGAGATGTTGATAATGGAGCAGGCTATGCATGTGTGGGGGCAGGGAGTACATGGGAAATCTCTGTGCCTTGTGTTCAATTTTGCTGTGAACCTAAAACTGCTCTAAGAAAACAAAGTCTATTAAAAAACAAAAGTACAATGAGATAACTGCCTCACAACCATAAGGATGGCTACTATTAAAAAACTAAAACAACAAAATAAGTGTTGGCAAGGACGATTCCAATTCCAGAGAAATTGGAATCCTTGTACACTGTGGGAATGGAAAATGGAAAACAGCATTGGCAATTCCTCAAAAAATTAAAAATAGAATTGCCATGTGATCCAGCAATTCCACTTTTGGGTACATATACAAAAAAATTGAAAATAGGGTCTGTAAGAGGTATTTGTACACCATGTTTTTTTTTTTTAATTGTGACATAGTGGATTGTATTTATCTGTGGAGTACAGTTGAATATCAAGACCTGTGTGCGATATGTGATGCTCAAATCAGGATAATTAGTGTATTCAACATTATACAATGTAATTGTTTTTTGTGGGCCGTTATCGATTCCCCCCTTACTCTCCCTCCCGCTCCCCCTTTCTCACCTCTGGTAACCTCAGTTCTGTTCTCTCCTTTTGAAAGTTCAACAGATTATTGTGAGTGTTGTATCTTTCTTTCTTTTTTTAAGTTGTTTATTTTTTAGCTCCCACTTATGAGTGAGGACTCTTCCATGTTGCTGCAAATGGCAGTATTTTGTTCTTTTTTATGCAGAGTAGTATTCCATGTGTACACCTGTGTTCATAGCAACAGCAATCACAGTAGCCAAAAGATGGAAGCAACCCAAATGTCCATCCACAGATGAATAGATAAACAAAATGTGGTATGTACATACAATGGAATATTATTCAGCCTTAAAAAGGAAGGAAATTCTGATACATGCTACAGCATGGATGAAACTTGAGGACATTATGCTACATAAATAAGGCAGTCACAAAAAGACAAATACTGTATGAGTTATATATAACTCAGAAACAGAAAGTAGAATAGTGGTTGCCAGGGGCTGAGGTGAGGGGGAGATGGGGAGTTGTGTAATGTGTACAGAATTTCAAATTTGTAAGATGAAGTAATCCTGGAGATGGATTGCACAACGTGAATATACCTAACGTGACTGAACTGTACATTTAAAAATGGTTAAGATGGCAAATTTTATGTATATTTTCCCACAATTTTTTACAAAACAGTAAACATTTACTGTTTTAAAAATGAAAGGTTTGGGCTGGCCCAGTGGCGCACTGCTACAGTGCGCCGCTTGGGAGCGCGGTGGCGCTCCCGCCGAGGGTTCGGATCCCACATACAGACCGGTTCCCGCTCACTGGCTGAGCGAGGTGCGGGCACAACACTGAGGGTTGCGATCCGTTGCCGGACACGAAAAAAGACAAAAAGGAAAAAAATAAAAAAAAAAGAAAGGTTTGAAGTTTTTGGTTAGAAAAGTAATATGTTCTCCTGAGATGCAATTTGGTACAAAGCAGAAGAAACCATTACCCCTCACTATCTTTTACCACCTACAGCAACACCGAGGGTTGTGATCCCGTTGCCAGTCCCGGTCCGGTACGGGCGCAACACTGAGGGTTGCGATCCGTTGCCGGACACGAAAAAAGACAAAAAGGAAAAAAATAAAAAAAAAAGAAAGGTTTGAAGTTTTTGGTTAGAAAAGTAATATGTTCTCCTGAGATGCAATTTGGTACAAAGCAGAAGAAACCATTACCCCTCACTATCTTTTACCACCTACAGGCATTCTGTGGCACTGTATTGTTCTTGTTTAATCGTGTTTTAAAGAATCATACCTTTTCAATGGAATATGGATTTTGTAATAGTAAAAAATTAGATTTACTTGACTTTTGGGTGGCAGATGTGAGGGGTTATTTTTTTTTTTTTTTATGGACCAGTTTCTGCCTGGGACCTCTGGTACCTGCCTTCCTGAGTAACATACTGTGATGGAGCTGAGAACAATGGAGTGAGCATTAGCAGTGTCAAAATGTTACGTTGCACAAAAGTTATTAAAATGCAAAGAATAATAATTTACTGGGTTGGCCAGTTAACTCAGTTGGTTAGAGCGTGGTGCTAATAACACCAAGGTCCAGAATTTGATCCCTGTACCAGCCAGCCACCAGAAACAAAACACAAAAGAATAATAATTTACTGTCCAAAAGGATCCAAGGCTATTTCATACCTAGGCTGCTGTGGGAGGCAACAGGTTGTTAAGAGCCAGCATGGATGAGTTTCTCACTTTTGTGCAGCCTTTGAGGCAAGGTTTGAAAATGGGTTTTCAGACTCTGGTCACAGCAAGCAGTATCATTACTGTGTCTTCTGACTAGCAGGCACTTGGATTTATCATTAACAACTATTTCCTACATTTTTCCTGTTTCCATTTTCCAGGCTTCGTCTGGATGCAAGAAATTCAGAGCTTGCCTGATGATCTAGTGGGGAAAATTTATAATTGCCTAGTGTTTTGTGTTCTCCCTAAAATCTGACAGTACAGTGCTCAGTGCTGTAAGAAAGGGAAGCAAGAGTCTCAGAGAGGGAGGCAAAGACCTGAGGATCAAGGGATTTGAGTTTTACCTTGTGGGTAATTCGGAGTCAGTAAAGGGTTTTGAGCCAAAGAATGAAATGATCACATTTGAGAATTAGAAAGATCACCCCAGTGCAGAAAATGAATTGGAGTGGGGAAGACTGGAGGCAGGGAGACCATTTAGGAGATTACTGCAAAGGTCCAGGTGAGACATGGTGGGGCCTGAGCTAAGGCGCGCTAGGTAAGGAGAGAGGAGGAGGTGAAAGATTGAGGCAGCTGAATAAGCAAAATTTAGCCATATGGGCCGGCCCGTGGCTCACTCGGGAGAGAGTGTAGTGCTGATAACACCAAGGCCATGGGTTCGGATCCTATATAGGGATGGCCGGTTAGCTCACTGGTTGAGCGTGGTGCTGACAACACCAAGTCAAGGGTTTAGATCCCCTTACCGGTCATCTTTATTATTTAAAAAAAAAAAAAAAAATAGCCATATGGGGGTGGGGGGCGGGTGAAGTCAAACACAAAGTCAAAAAAAAAAAAAAACAACCAAAAACCAAACAGGTTTTTTTTTTTTTTTTTTTTTTTTTTT